TGCGTGAACAACTAGGTGAAATATGAGTTTGAAGTTTGTCTGTGGGTTTTTTCCCATGCAAGGCAGGAAAAAACCCTCTGAGACCTTGGCTCTGACAATGCTGAAGGCTTTTTTTTTTCACGGGGAAGGCTGTTTTCATTGTTCAAACCAAACCTTCCGTGTGGAGAGAACATGTACAAATAAGGGCTAGATGTGTACTTGGAGCTTGGCTTCTGGCCTGGGCGTGTTGGCAAATTGGCCTGAACTACAAGAGATGTTTTGACACCACAAATAAGGAATTAGGCAGTGTGGTGATCCGGAGAGAGGATGAGTGGGTTTGCTTTTACAGTGCTTTCAAGATGCTGCTTTGAAGATTTCCAGAGTGCTGCAGCTTAACATCACAAAGACAATCTTAAAATCTACTTTCAGAGAGCTGGCAATTTTACTTTCTAAAAAAAATTACATAATCGGTCAAACAATATTCACCCTAACCTTAACTTTAAAATAACTTAAGAAAATCTTGAACTTACAGATAGTGTTTGGTGGTTTATGCATGATTAAGTGTATTCTTTTAACAACAACAAAAACGATGCTATTGCCAGTTTCTTTACTTTCATAAAGTAAAGCTCAGTGTGGTTTTATAAATTTCAGTCTCTGGCAATCCATTATTTTATATTTCTATTTTAAACTTATATTTGTCTGACTCAAGTACCTTTCATTCCTTTCCCAATTTCTTTCTAAGTTCCTTACATATCTGTTGCTGCACCTAAGTGCAATTCAGTATGGACCAGCAAGAGTAGCTTCCAAAAAGAGTAATTTATTGAAGGTGCATTTTTATAGAAGCAAGTGTAAGGAACCAAAACTAACGAGCACCAAAAAGTAACTGGTTAATTTTGTTGTATTCAGTCTTTCTTCGTCTTTTACCTCATAGTTATAATTGTGAAAGGCTTTTCAGACTGCAAGAATTAAAAAATAAATACAGAGTTGGCCTCGTAGATACTCAGTCCATATCTCCCACAGAACAAACATGCTTTTGAAAAGAGAAAGCAACTTCTCTGGCATCTATTTTAACTAAGGGCAGTTCTAAGGATTGAAAAGTCAACTTCTGCACTAGAAATATTATCACTTAACTACTAATTGATACTGTGTCTTTCCAGAAAGCCTTTTTACAGTATCCTAAGAGACCTATAGCTAAACCCCTTTTTATTTTCTATTTTCCCTATTAAAAGTAGGTTCAACACTGGAAATTAATGCATTCAAGTATTTTAAGCAAGAAATCATGGAAGTTAATTCACTCTAATAATACTATAAGAAATAAACATCTTTATAACATGAAGGGAATATAGATGAAAATAAAATTGGTCTGTACTCTATAAAATTGTGGGTAAATATAATTAAGCATTGGAAAGAGTGGATTCCAGCCTCATTTGGGATTCATCCAACTAACTCCTCACACTTTACCAGTTGTCCTTTGTAAGGTATCACTGATGCTCCAATGGGCCTTGAAGACTCCTATTGCATGGAAAATTATACAGCTGCCATCACAGCTCTGCCCAAGGGGGAATTCAACATTGTTTTGCAGAGACAGAGCTAGATTCTGCTTATTTGTTGTACTCCTGGAATAACGAAAGTGAAACTAATCTGAATATAAGTATTTTTAAAGGAAATTCAAGTCGACACGTATTTGTATTTTTTCATATAAATTACCCCCATAGGTTGTGAGGAGGTTCTTTCTATGAGCACTTAAATGGGAGCTTTTCATTCTAATATAATCACTTTAATGCAGGAAATCCCTTAGGCATAACTGAGAGCTGGGATGCACACTGCATCTATAGCTGGAGAAGCAATCAAAGAAAATTTAAAGAAGAGTCTGAAGACTTGTAATCCATAATAATATTATTAATTCATTCAGCATGCAAATGTTATTCTACTCAATATTCAGCAGACTTCTACAGCTCTACACTAAATTAACACAGGACTTCAGAAAGCACTGGTAAGTGTAGCTTCACAACAGTGTAAATAACACTTGAGTTACACATATGTCTTACCTTGAGAAGTTCAGAGCCTTTAAAACAGGAATTTCTAAAGGCACTTTGAGTGTCAGTGATTGATTTTACCGATCCATAGGTGCTACATCAAATATTAACATGAGAAATGAATTGCTGAGTAAACTCTGGGCTCATTACTACTTATTTTCTAAACACTGAGTAAACCAGTAAATTCAGATTAGGTCACATTTTACCAAATTATAACGTGCCTGCCGCCAGGAAACATTTTTCCCCTGTTCCAATAACTGCTTCAGCCATATCCCACAAAATTACAAGGACTTTGGAAGATAAATTCTCAAAGAATTTACAAGCCTGGGAAGAAGTAAGTTCTAGGGTCCTTTTTGCTGTTTCTTTCCTATTCACTCAGGACTCTTGCTCAGCAAAAGTTCACTTGGTTCCCTGAAAGAAGTGTCCTGTAGTAATGCTTATTCCATTACTCCCCATAAAATTCTGTAAGAGGTGCAACACAGCAAAGTATGAAAAACAAAGGAAGTTCAGTTAACTGTGCTCCACCAAAAAAGATGTTGGTTGGAAAAGTGATGTTCAGGCACAGCAGCAAATTGTGGAGGTTTGCTGCAAATACCAAAAGATAAAACCATGTATGTCCATGATTTATTTGCAAATCATTTCTGCTTTATATTAAATGTCCATTTCCATATAAGAAATGGTTATGTTTCTTTCCTCCAAGAATAGTTACATCTTCAAGAATATTCTCTTCATTGTATTTTAACTTTTTTCACAGAGCTTGGAAACAAGAAAAATAATGGGTGGGGACTTAGAACTAAACATATGCCTATATTTGTCATAAGCCTTCAAAGTTTTTCTGCTATTGATACTTTCTCTCAAGTGAAAATTTCCAAGTTTGACAAGACATATTTCAGGCAGATTCTCTCCTATGACAATTTTTCCAAGCCAAACAAGTAAAAGTAAGATGTAAACTCAGCGTGGGAATCCCTATTATGCCATCTAATTTAAAATTAAAACCCAGAGTAGAGTCTCCACGGTTCTAAGGCTATGCTGATTGCCACTTGAAGCTGGAAAGGTTTTTCCCTAATGCACAAGTGATGAAGTGCACGTAATGCTTAGAGGAAAGTTACCTTATCTGCAGTATCAGATATAGATTACTGCTGGAGTCAGCGTGCCACGCCGCTTGGATCCATATGCTCTGTTCCAATATGAGGAATTAAGTTTCCCTGATGTCATAACTTGAACAGATAATGCAATTAAAGTCTCCTTTGAAGTTCACATTGACCAGGTAACCAATAGAATGAGTTGGCAAAGCTTTAGTCGAGTCACCACGGTGAACTCGGCTCACCCAGGTTGAGACTCTGATGTTCTGCAAAGGCTGAGGGATACTGAAAATGCTCAGTCCCTGTGAGATATTTATAAACCAGTGTTTATTCTGTCCTGTAAATACAGAGATCCTGCACTTCTGTCTGGCACTCCCCAGATGTGTCAGGAATATGTCAGAATTGCTGCATGTTCTCTGAGGGGTTGGTTCCCTTGTGTACAACAGCTCTGAAAGACTGAGGGACACCTGCAAATCCCAGACAAGTGACAGGGTCTCCTTTTCCCACCTCAGTGCTCCTCCTGGGAGCAATCTCCCTGCAAGAAAAGAGGGCCTGTCTGGCGGATCAGATATTTGGGCAAGACTAGAAAAAGGGAGAGATCTGTTACACAATGTTCCATTTGCCACTAGTTACTCTGGAATACAAGATTGCATGGGACTGCTGAAGTGCTGCTGAAGCTGGATGCTCGTTTTCATACAGAATCAGCTTGATAATCCCTTGCTGAAAAGGTGCAGTTCACAGCTTTGTAGGTTAAACAATAGTGAGGCTGTGTATGATCAAGTGTGAAGAATTTTCTTGCAGATGAGACATTGATAGCTGCTCCTCTGGGACCCTTCAACTGGTGTAATTTATAGTATCACACTACAATTGACATGTTTAGGATTGTGCCAATAATTCAAGACTTCTTGAGGCATTTAAATAGGAGAGGTAACTAAATGATTAATTTTAGAAAGAAGAGAATGGAACAAAGCCAAGACTTCTATCTTCTTGAAAAAGAAAAGAGCCTAAAATGAACATCTTGGCTACTTTACAAGACTAGAGAAATATTATAGACTGAAAGACTGTTTAATTTCCAAAAGTGTTACTATTCCTTGGAGATACAGTGATGAAAATAGAATTCTTAGAATGAAGTAGAATTTTACTTGCACTAAAACAGAAAGACTCATGATCAGGAAAGTTGCTTGAGGAGGGGAAACATCCCACCACTGTCAACTCGTTATGGGGACATATTTGGCATGAGCATTGAAAAAAAACAGACTAATAAATGGTGATCAGGTAGACAACTTCAAAAACACTTAGAAGAACAGATAATGAAAAGTTATGATTGGTATTATTAAAAATGAGAAAGTAAGGAGTTTCATTATATATACAATAGAAGTCCAACTAATAAAAACATTGACACAATCAGACTGATAATTTAAGCAAAACTATCTATGGTAATAGTGAAGATTTGCTACCTCTATAAATATATATATATATGATTCATAATGACCTACAAAGTAACATAAGGTGCACCTCAAAAGGTCATTTCATACTCTCAAGATGCCCAAATACCTAGAAATTCTCTTGAAGCAACTACTTTGCACCTCCTTACCTCCAAGAGCATACATGTGAGAGTCTGCAATGCCATAAAACACGTGCTGATGTTGTGTGTGCCTTCTAAGGAAGAATTAATGCAAATAGCTCTTAGAACAAACAGCACTTCTTTTACTCTCCTGCCAGTTTCAGCTATAGCTAGGCTGTTCTACCTTCTTTCTTCGAAGACTCTTGTTTTATTATTTTTGGGGAATAATGGCAGCACCATGAGAATTCTGTTCAGGTTTGAATCAAAACCTCTTCCTTTCACCACCTGGGGAGCACTCATGCAAAGCTCCCCGATTCGAGTGAAGTGAAAAGTCCTTACCTTCTGTTGGTGATGTCTTCAGATGTCTGCAGAGCCCCTCTGTTTCCCCATATGTCTCTTTAATTTTTACTACTGCTTCTGTCCCTCGGAGTTCCATGAGGGAGCGCAGTTCTTGCAGTGTGCACCCAAACTCTCCCGCATGGTTGGCCTCGTTTCTTTGGTTCTTGGAGTAAAAATCGCTATTTGTCATGTCACCCATTGTGGCTGGTTGTATTGCTCCACTCGTTGTAGTCGATTACAATCTTAAAACTGTTTTAAAAATTGAAGGAGAGGAATCTCGAATTCCGGTTTAAGAAATTAAAAAGAATCCAGTGTGTGTCCGGCGAGCGACGTGGAGGATTTGGAGGATGCCTCTGGCGTGCAAGGTGTCCCTGACTGACTAGTGGTCTGCAGAATGGCTGCTTTCAAGGCTGCAGACCAGCTCCACTCCATTCACCATTTCCCATTATGTTGCACCCAAGCTGTGGAATCTACATGGTCATTTCTTCCTCGGGACCTTTGGGAACAAGCAGAAAGGACTCATTACAGGAGTGCGCGACAGCGCTTTACAAAAGGTGATTTTTTCAAATTTATTCTGTCATGGCAGGTGGACTGCTCATTTCAGAGAGGCTGTGTGAGATGTCCTGTGAGGTGCTGCAGCACCGACAGCAAGGATAACACCAGCTCTGCCTTAGATAAAGCTCTCCACAGCTAAAGCACCAATAGCAGTGTCTCTCACTTTAATCAAGTCCCAAGAGCACCCGCTAAATGAGATGACTCATGAATATTAATAAGTAAGCGATTAGTCCGGCATGCAGGATACACCTCCAGTACGTGCTCTGCTTCATACAGCTACATCAGCCTGTCCTCTGACCAGAACAAAGCCTCTGATAAAGGCTGAGAGGTGACACAAAGAGGTTAAACACAACTAGTTTTCATAATGGGTTAAAGCAAAACTGTTTTTCAGCGCGAGGAGAGTGAGACCGGTGGAAAAAACTAGAGCCATCATTACAATTGCAGAATACATTTCAATACATTACATCTTGCAGCCTTGCCTTCTGTGCAAGGGAGCACAACCCAGCAAAGAGAAAACACTGGGGTGGCTGGGTTTGAGCAGCCACAGCTCCTCCTCACCAAGCACCCACTGGGTCCTGTCCCCAGCACACACAGACACACACAGGATGGGGCTGGGTTCTTTCTTTTTGCTTTTCTTCTTTTATTTCCCCCCCCTTTTTATTTTCATTTTTTTTCCCCCATGTGCAGTGTTGAACAAGTCCCATTTGGACCATCTGGGAGACAGCTGATTACTTGCTAAAACCAGCCTTTAAAACCTGTTTCCCCTTCCCATATTCTAATGAAGTTGGTTTTAAATACTGCTGAAACCAGCTATTATATTTGGCACGCAGAGTTTTAAAAGAGATTAAAGGTTTCTTTTTTTGCCTCAAGCGGGTTAGTGAGAGTGCACTGTCTAATCTATAGGTCTCAGAACAGTTTTCATAATAAAAAAGATCTTTCAAAGGGCACACCAGCAGCCTAATGACTGACCAACCTGTCACAGGCAAAGGGCATATGTTGAACTTTCTAGGCACAGTAATACACAGTGGAAATGAGTACCCAGATAAAGCACATAAAGAGGATCCCAATGTGTTTGAAGTCCCAGTTTTATATTTGTACAACAATTTTAATCTCCCACCCACATACAGTTGACATAGCACGTAGGCTCAGTATTTCCACTATCTAACCCTGTTGCATTGCTCTGCACATGACAAAAATCAGGCCCCCTGGATGCACCAATTCCTCTGCCCACGGTGGCACTGCCTGCTTTAGAGCTGCCTAACATACCTTGCTCAATTAGCCAAACCCAACCCCTACCAGCCCTCTCATCTACAGCTTTAAAACTCAACATTTCTTTGATTTTTGTGGGGAAAAAAAAAAAAGAAAAAAGGGAAGTACCAGTTTTACTATGATATTATCACTATGATATTACAAAACACAGTTAAAATAGCAGCCAACTGCTACACCTTTCTTCTACACATCCTATTTATTGATACATATTCTAGTCTTAAGAACTTCTGCCACCTCACATTTCACATGTTGCTTTTCACATTCACTAGGATTTCTGCCCAAAATGTGGCTTACAGTGAAGAACAAAGAGAAACTAGAAGTAGTAATTAAAAAAGGCCTTTATTTGCCAAGCAATAGCCAAAGAGGAGATGATGTGCCCTGTCAACACACTAAGCTCTCCATGCTGGGCAATGCTCACAGCCTCGATTCATCCCTAGGTATGGCACACAGAAAAGACCTGACTCACACTATTTATCTGTTTGTAAACAGGGTGGGTCAGTATTCTGAACAGAAATAACATCAGCCTGCAGCATTATTTTGAAAAAGTTGCAGGACATGGATGTCACAGATGCCCAGTCAAACAGATTCCATCCCAAGGGGCACCGAACAGCCACGACCCCAGCTGGTGATGAGCTCCTCCTTCCTCCCAGCAGCATTTCAGACTCTTCCTGGTGTCAGCTGTGATAAGCTGCTGCTGACAGTCCCATCAAAATGCAGATTGAGCTTTGATTGGGAGGCATCGATAATAATAACGAACAGCTGAAATGACAGGCTGCCTTTCACTTCCAGTGGCAAAAAAAAATCTATTCCAAGATAAATTCACTTCAAGATTTTGAAAACTAGGCATCTCAAACAGCCATGATGCTAAGAAAAAAAAAAAAGACAAATAGCAAAAAACCACACTATTCACCTAGCCCTAGGTAGTCTTGTGAGCTTTTTAAACATAAAATAATAAAATAAAATTATTCCTATACTGTTCCATAACACCGCAGACAAAGGATAATTATAAGTATTTTCTGAGGAGACCCATCTACTGATTTAATTCATGATGCAAAGGGTACTAAACACAGCAAGGACTTTTTCTACATGATTTTTCTGTGGGATATGTCCACCCTCCTCAATCAAAGCACCTCTTTAGGCTCACTGTGCCATCACTATGAATTAATATATTTGCTTCTATTCTTAGCAATTCTTCGTCATTTGTCAGCCACAGCAAGACAGTGCTGTTGCTTTTTAGCATGAGTCATTTGCCTGCTTAATTTTTAATTTCACCTTCAATTAAATATTGATCAATAAACAACAAATATGAAGTTTACACTTCCTTCGGTGCTTTAAAAACAAACCCCTCAGAGTTTGTGCTGTTCATGAGTCACCCAACGCTTTGCCACCAAGGAAACAGCACCTCAAAAAAACAGTGTTTTTGAAAGGCAGATGGTAAAACACAACAAGCACAGAGCGTGACTGACATTATTCACTGATAGTGCATCTCCCTAATCCCGGGGAACAAGATATGCAGCTTCCATCTGATCCCTGAATCTCCCTTAGGAAAAGCCCAGGCGCCCTGCCAGGGCGTGTGCTGGGTTAGCAGGGCTGACACGCGACCACCTCCCCCCTCCCACGCTGGGAATATTCCCCTGGCCAAAGGAATGAGAACTCAGAAAGCTGTGGCTGGCATATGGCAACATTCCCATCGGAGGGGCTTTGCCTCTCCCAAAATGCATCCGGGTACCAGAAGCGGGTGAAGCTTCCACAGGTCTCCTCCACGAGAAATCTGCATGAGGGTTTCGGTGGGGTTTTTTTGCCTGGTGTTTTTTGGGGGAGGATGAGGTTAGGAAAGGGATAACATTACAAAACACACTCCCAACACCGATATTTTTGAGATGTAGATGTAGTACAGGTGAACTACCAGGCAATCCTGATGTTAAAAAAGCAGGTGATACTGATACAGTTTTCAATCAAATTGAACAACCAACAGGATCTTGTATCCTAATGGCCTAATAAATAAAGCAAGCTGAATTTCGTGCTCTGGGTGCTGCCTTCACTGGCAGTAGCACCAGTCTGCCAGCAGGTCAAAAGGGATTTGAATCTCCCTGCTATGGACCAAACTACCTGGGGAATAACACCTCTGGCAGTCAAAGGGAACATGACCCAGCAAACCACAGGTTTCAGCAGCAGAAGGTGCATTGCCCTGGCAGTGGAAAACCTCCAGGGAGCTCAAGGACTTCTCCCTTCCTTTTCAGATGTGCCCTGAGTCCCTTCAGGGCCTCCAGGACAAAATTTCTCAACCTCTTTTTACCCAAGATCCACTGAATCTCTTTCACTGCAATGACCACTATCTGTGATGGGCTTCAGTGGGTTTAACTTGTAACCAAATGCCTCCCAGAGCACAAAGAGCCACCATCCTCAAATTCTGAGAGCACAGCTTTTCACACCATCATTCCCTCCTCCACTGGGTACATTTGAGCTCATCATTCCCCAGGAGAACAACTTACAGGGAAAATGGTTCCCCCTTAGACAAGTTCAGTAACTGAGAAACTCATTTCACCCACAAAGTTGGACTGTTCTCCCAGACAAAAGCAGTCACTTGTCTCTTTTTACTTATTCTTACCAATGCTTCTGAATCAAGAAAACTGAGTAAAAGTACATCCCAAAGTGCAGTTTGAAAACAACAACATGCTGTGGCCAAGGGACAAAATAGCAGCCCACCTAGATCCTCCTGGGGTAGCAAAAGACTTTACATACTAGAACAACTGAGAAAAATACTGCCCTTATTTTTCTCATTAAAAAGTCAGAATATAAGTCTGGGATTTTGTCAGTGATGTCATGGATTTTTGTTGTACAAATGCACTACAAACTCAAACTCTTTCCTGTTTGGTTGGTTTTTTTGGGTTTTTTTCCAGAGTGACTGTGTCTGGAGGAACAGGCTTCCATTCCTGTAGAGCCCAAGTCAAATATTTTTCATCTTCTAGCTGCTTAGAGGAAATGCATGCCAATTAAAACAGAAGCAATTTGGATGAGCTAACTGCAGGCCTGCTGGGAAAACTATTCTTTGATTTCCCTAATCAGGAAAAGTCTCATCTTGGAAGCTTGTAAATATTTTCACAGTGTGTTAGAATGTAGATATCGTCACTATGTATTCTGACATCTGATTTCATTTGGGCTTCTACTGGCAGAAAAGTTAAGAGCTGGGTAATGAACCAGATTTCACAAGACTTGCCTTTCACAGTCCTTGAAAGTCTGGACAAATAATGGATTCACAGTGAACCAGAAAAAAAGTAGGATATATTCATAAATTGACTGTTTTCTTTTAACTGTCATCTAAGATCATGGTAACTCTGCTCTCAAAACCTGCTGATGGAGGGATTCCCTGCACTAGAGGATGAGAAGGAAATCACCCACAGTGAGGGCAGAGATCAGCAAATCCCAGGTGCTATTCACTCATTGTGCAACTGGGAAGGTATCACACTGAACTGGTTCTCCTTGAATTAAACTGAGGGAATTAGCAGTTCCCAGCCTTCTGCATGGAGCATTACTGTCCCACCTGGGTTTTTACTTGGCTGTAGATAAAATGCCAGCTGGTCCTTGGGACCTATAGAGAACCTCCAAGTAAGGGGGGGAAAAAGCACTGGAGCATCACATTTTAGTGAGTACAAGGTACATAACCAGGCTGAT